TCTCAAAAAAAAAAAAAAAAAAAAAAAGCTAACACAGTGGAAATGACCCTTTTAGTCCCTTCTGTTCTGTACTGTTTGAAAAAATTTCTTAATTATGTTAACCACTCAAAAACAAAAACACTTTTTATTTATTTATTTTGAGACAGAGTCTCACTGTGTCACCTAGGCTGGAGAGTAGTGGCATGATCTCGACTCACTGCAACCTCTGCCTCTTGGGTTCAAGTGACTGAATTGTGCCTGGCCCCAAAACACTTTTAAAATTGTTCACCTTTAAAAACAAAAATAGGTCCAGCATGGTGGCTCACATCTGTAATCCCAGCACTTTGGGAGGCCGAGGCAGGAGGACAGCTTGAGGCTAGGAGTTCAAGACCAGCCTGGGCAACATAGCAAGACCCTGTCTCAACACAAAAAAGAAAAAAATTAAAAAAAAATTAGCCTGCCATGGGGGTGCATGCCTGTAGTCCTAGCTACTTAGGAGGCTGAGGTAGTATGATTACTTGAGGCCAGAATTTCAAGGTTACAGTGAACTATGATCCTCCCACTGTACTCTATCCTGGGCAACAGAGCGAGACCTTGTGTTCTAAAACAAACAAAACAAACCCCAACCCACCAACCTGCTTATCAACCTTCCAATTTCCTTTCCTGCTGCTCCAGCATAAATCCTTCCTTCTAACTAAGCAGGTCTCCTCATGGCTTTTGTATGTGCGTGCAAACATACATCACTGCTTTTTTTTTTTTTTTTTTTTTGAGACAGGATCTTACTCTGTTGTTGCCCAGGCTAGAATGTAGTGTGCAGTGGTGCGATCATAGCTCACTGCAACCTCTGACTCCTGGGATCAAGTAATCCTCCTGCCTCAGACTCCAGAGTAGCTGGTACTACAGGTACGCACTACTATACCTGGCTACTTTTTGTATTTTTTGTAGAGATGGGGTTTTGGCATATTGCCCAGGCTGGTCTAGAACTCCTGGCCTCATTCCATCTGCCTGCCTCAGCCTACCAAAGTGCTGGAATTATAGGTGTGAGCCACCACGAGTGGCCCCTAATTTTAAAATTTTTTTGTGGAGATGGGGATCTCATTTTGTTGCCCAGGCTGGTCTTGAACTCTTGATTTCAAGCAATCTCCTTGTCTCAGCTTCCCAAAGTATTAGGATTACAAGTGTGAGCCACTGTGCCCAGCCCATCACTGTTTTCTAATTGAAGTACATCATGTTTACATCTGCACTGACTCACACCATTTTTCCCTCCAGGATATTAATCTTTTTGTGGCAGGCAGAATGGTCCCTTGAAGATGTCCTTGTCCTAATCCTAGAATCTGTGAATATGTTAGGTTACATGGCAAAGGAGAATTAAGGTTGCAGATAGAATTAAGGTTGCTATCAGCTGACTTCAAAATAGGGAAATTATCTGGGATTATCTGGGTAGGCCCAATATAATCATGAGGATCCTGAAAAGTGGAAAAGGGCCGGGCACAGTGGCTCACGCCTGTAATCCCAGCACTTTGGGAGGCCGAGGCAGGTGGATCACCTGAGGTCAGGAGTTCAAGACCAGCCTGGCCAACATGGTGAAACCCTGTCTCTACTAAAACTACAAAAATTAGCTGGGTGTGGGGTGCGTGCATGTAATCTCGGGAGGCTGAGGCAGGAGAATCACTTGAACCCGGGGAGCAGAGGTTGCGGTGAGCTGAGACTCCAGCCTGGGCAAAAAGAGCAAAACTCTATCTCAAAAAAAAAAAAAAAAATAAGTGGAAAAGGGAGGCAGAAGAGGGAGTCAGAGACGTGATGACAGAAATAAGGTCAGAGTGATATGATGACTCAACCTGCTACTGCTGGCTTTGAAGATGGAGGAAGGGGGCCATGACCCAAGGTGCGCTGGGCAGCCTCTAGGAGGTGGAAAACGAAAGGAAATGGATTCTTTTTTTTTTTTTCTTGCAGCACCTATTTCCCTGAATCACATGGTTAGTACTTGCTAACTCACTCATTCAATAATGATTTAATGCCTGCTATGGGCCACACCTTGTGCTAGACACTGGATATGGTCTTCCTGAAGGGTGTTTAGGGGCAACTGTGATTTTTTTTTTTTTTTTTTTTGTATTCTTCTCATTGCTTAGTAAGGTCTTACCCATAAAGGACAAGGTCCAAACACCTCACAATGGTCACTAAAGACCCTTAGACTGCAAATGACTTAATCTCCCGCCAAACATGGCATCCCTCACTGTTACTCTAACATGCCACCTTCTTTCATGTATCTTTGTCTTTGCTCCTGCAGGTCCTTCTGCACAGCAACTTCTGGTCAAATGCCTCCATGCTACTCAGTAATTAACCACAGATCTACTCTAGCACTCTACATTCATTCACAGCCCAGGGAAACCATCAATTCCAGTGTGAAGACTTTCCCCACCTCCCAGGCATTTGTCATTTCTTTCTCTGCACATTTCTTCTTTCTTTCTTTTTTTTGCACATTCCTTTTAAAGCATTTATCACATGCCAGTTTGCTTGAGTTCAAGTTTATCCTAGTTCTCTGGGGATAGTCTGAACACTTATTCATCTTTATGTCATCTATACCCAGCATAACACTGGACTTCAGAATAATGGAAAGAATATAGCCTGACTCTCTAATTGAGGAGCTTTGGTTGAGTATTTCAATCCAAGTCTCAAACTCGGATATGCTTTAACTCTGAGTTGGCCCGCATGCTCTGAGTTAAAATTTGAACTGATATTTAATTTTTTTTAATGGAAAAATCCACATAAAGTGTGGATTTCTGATAACTCTTGCCCCAAATTCTGGCAACACTAGATCTTTATTTTCATATGGCAGCCATCAGCTGGAGCTGATTAGATGGCATCTGCTCTCCATTTTGCCCATTTCACACTTCTGTTGTCCCTAGCACAAAGACCTGGTGTTGGTTGCTATTTCATCATTCTTTTTCTTAAAGTAAAATTCGAAGTTAAAACTTTATTACACTAGGCTGTTTCACCTAAGCCCTGAAGGCATTTGAGTTTTCAACTCCTGTCTTAACTTATAAGCCTGAATTCTCATCTGTCAAATGGGAAAAAATAACGTTTATCTATAATTCTGGAAAAAAAGCCCTGCAAGGTAAAGCATGCATAGAGAACACTGCCTGGCACATGGAAAGTGTTTGAAAAACGGTTGATATAAGGAGCTCAAAAACCATTTACAAAATGAATGAATAGGCCAGGCGCAGTGGCTCATGCCTGTTAATCCTAACACCTTGATACGCTGAAAGATCGCTTGAGTCCAGGAGTCTGGGAACAGCCTGGCCAACATAACAAGACCTAGTCTCTACAAAAATAAAAAATAATTAGCCAGGCATGGTGGCTACTTGGAGCCACCATGCATGGCTACTTGGGAGGCTGAGGTGGGAGGATCGCTTGAGCCCAGCAGTTGAAGGTTCAGTGAGCTGATTGTGCCACTGCACTCCAGCCTGGGGGACAGAGTGAGACCCTGTTTCAACAAATATATATGAACTAAAAATTGAATGAATGAACGAACATTCAAATGACCACATGACTGTTTTGTAAAGAGGAGACTGATGAAGGAAATTATCACCAAGGTGTTTTTATCCGTTTATGAAAGCCATACTTTGTATTTGGGTTGCGGCAGCTGCTCAAAACAATGGCAGAAACTGCAGTTATAAATTCCAGAAAAGCCTATGGATGGAGTGAAAGTGAAGTGGGTGGTCAAAAACCGACGGCCGTGGAGGCTTAGCTCTCTTCACAAGGTACACAACAGGTGCTCAATGAGTGCCTGTTGAATGAATGGCCACGCAGCCCAAAGCGTGCCTACGCATCCCCTCCTCCTCCAGGCAGCCCTCCGGAGTTCCAGCCTCCTCCCCACCCTCCTGCCCCGCCCCGCCCCGCCCGCCCTTACAGGATGTCCTCGCGGATGGAGGTGCCATGGTTGAGGTTGTGGAAGCGGACGGAGACGCAGTCCCTGAGAATGAAGGAGCACCTGTTCTCCCTTTTGTAGGCGCTGAAGCACTCCTTGAAGTCCTCATAGGTCTTGAAGCAGCTGCCCAGCTCCATGGCCGCCCCCACAACCCACACCAGGGGCTGGTCCCAGCCCAGGCCCAAGATCACACCAGGGGTCAAAGGTCACACTATGAGGGTTTATGGGCTGGCGTGGGCCCAGAATGCCTTAAGGGTCCGCCCAACTGGGTGGCCTATTCTGGAAGTCAGGAGGAGCCCTAGGCCTGACCGGGTTACAAGAGGAAGGGGGTGTATTTGCTATCTGACAGGGGAAATGACACTCAGTCCATATTATCCAGTCCCGAGGTTCCGCCCCCTCAGCGACATATCCAGTCACACACAGGATTCGCAGATTGGCATTCATTGTCTCCAATTGCTAGAGAAAAAGGGCTACAGCCACCAGCGGACTGACAGGAGTCTTGACCAATCATAACCTAGGTTCCGCCTTCCCGGGGTCTGCAGGAGACTTCCGGTTACTAGGGCAATCTACCGGAAGCGTCAGGTTCAGTGTATGTTTCCGCGTCTTCCGCGGAGCGGGTGTTCAGGGCCGGCAGCCTTGAGCTAGATGTCGTCCCCGCAGGCCCCAGAAGATGGGCAGGGCTGTGGCGACCGCGGCGATCCCCCTAGGGACCTCCGTAGCGTCTTGGTCACGACCGTGCTCAACCTCGAGCCGCTGGACGAGGATCTCTTCAGGTAGCCGGCAGCTCCTGCCCAGCATCCCCTTCTTTAGGGCAGAAACTCTTGATCTTGACTGCCGCCCCCCGGGGCCCCTGGCTCCGGAACTAGGATGGCTCTGCGTAGGATGCACCCTCTGCCACAATTAGGAGAGAACGCACCCCCGACAGAGCTGTCCTCGCTGCTCTGGCTTCCTCCCTTCCTCTCCTTGCCGCGAGGTCTGCGCAGCCCCATCTCTAGGTAGTCCTGGAGATCTGAGCAAATATAGTGGTGACCTGAGAGACCCTGCTCGGCAGCCTGCCCTAAGCCTTCACAGGGGAGCTAGCACAGAGAGGGCAGTGATTTGCCCAAGGGCACACAGCTGATGGATCAACGTTAAAACAGACCCCGCAGCTCCTTTCGTCTTCAGTATCCTTTTCTTCTCACAATATCCCGCCCCCAGTACCATTTGGTGGGTCTGGTATCTCATTACTTATCCTAAGGCCTAAGCATGTTTGTTTCCTTCCCAGCATTGCTGAATTTCTTGACTGCAGCGAGGGTTTCTTTCTTTGAGACAGGAGTCTTGCTCTGTTGCCCAGGCTGGAGTGCAGTGGTGTGATTTCGGCTCAGTGCAGCCTCTGCCTCCCGGGTTCAAGCATTTCTCCTGCCTCAGCCTCCTGATTAGCTGGGATTACAGGCGCGCCACGGCCCAGCTAATTTTTTAATTTATTTTAGTAGAGAGGGGGTTTCACCATGTTGGCCAGGCTGGTCTCGAACTTCTGGCCTTGTGATCGGCCCATCTCTGCCAAAGTGCTGGGATTACAGGCGTGAGCCACCGCCTCCAGCCCCTGCAGCAAGGCTTCTCCTGGCTTTACTGGAAGTTATCCTACTTTGAGCTCCCTTTCTTCCACTTAAGGAATTATAAATAACTTCTTGGAGGGCTATTTGATTTTTGTTTTTGAAGACAAGATCTGGCCCTGTTGTCCAGGCTGGAGTGCAGTGGCACGAACATGGCTCACTGCAGCCTCGACCTCCCGGGCCCAAGTGACCCTTCTGCCTCAGCCTCCCATTTAGCTGGGACCACAAGCACTCACCACCACATCCAACTAACCTTTTTATTTTTAGTACACATGAGGCCCCACTTTGGAGCCCCTGCTGGTTTTGAACTCATGGGCTCAGGCGATCCTCCCACCTCGGCTTCCCAGAGTGCTGGGATTGATTACAGGCGAGAGCCACCTGCCAGGTCATGGAGGGCTATTCGTAACTCATTGTTACAGAAAATGCCAAACAGCTGGGACGTGGGAGGCTAGAGACTTAATTATTCAGCTTCCAGTGGGCCTACATTCTGGGCAAGCATTTTCATCTCTGGGGCCAAGCTGCAGTTTTCTCATCTGTACACTGAAGGAGTTAGACTTGATGTCTGAGGGCTCTTGTTGTTTATTCATTTATATATTTATTTAATTTTATTTTTTGAGATGGAGTCTTGCTCTGTCGCCCAGGCTGGAGTGCAGTGGTGCGATCTTGGCTCACCTCAACCTCTGCTTCCTGGGTTCAAGTGATTCTCCTGCCTCAGCCTCCTGAGTAGCTGGGATTACAGGTGCATGCCACCACGTCCAGCTAATTTTTGTATTTTTAGTAGAGACGGAGTTCCACCATGTTGGCCAGGCTGCTCTTGAACTCCTAATCTCAAAGGATCCACCTGCCTCAGCCTCGCAAAGTGCTGGGATTACAGGCGTAAGCCACTGCGCCTGGCCCAGAAGATTTTTATGCATAAGGATATTTGCCTGGGGAAAGGACCTATGGCTTTTACCATATTCTCAAAAGGATCTTAAACCCCAATAAGGTGAAGAGATCATGCACTAGAGTCTCAGCGAGGGTAGTAGAATTTGGCCCAGTTCCCAAGTCTTTCCCTCTTTCCCCCGTCTCCTTACAGAGGAAGGCATTACTGGGTACCGGCCAAGAGGCTGTTTGGCGGTCAGATCGTGGGCCAGGCACTGGTGGCTGCAGCCAAGTCTGTGAGTGAAGACGTCCACGTGCACTCCCTGCACTGCTACTTTGTTCGGGCAGGTAAACCCCCCACTTCCTGCCCCAACCCAGCCCTGGTAGCCCAGCAGCCATTCTGGCCTTGAGGGCTGAGGTCAAAAGGGAAGAGAGGGAGACTGGAAGACAAGGGGGAGGGATGGCGGACACAGCCACCCTAAGTGTCTAGGCTGGAACAAGGTCTGGGGCTAACAATGAGCCTTGGACCTCACACTTGCTGGGACTCACTGGGTACCTGATGTCTGGCTGATAATGACACAAGACTTTGTTGCTTAACTGCTCCTTGTGGGCCTTTTGTTCTTCCATTCTTAACATAGCTCCTGGTGCCAAGCGCTGTGCTAGGTTCTCAGCGTGCTGTAACCTCTGCTAGAGGTGCGGAGGTAGGGCAGCTTGGGTTGGAGAAGAGAGCACCAGCCTGAGAATCAAGGGATCTAAGGCTTCTTTTGTCAGCTGAGCATCGGGTCAATAAAAACAAACCAAAGATGTAGGGCCTAGCTTCAGCTTTGTCCATAATTTACCATGCGGCCTTGTGAGGTTAGCTCCCCGCCCTATAGCTTGGTTTACTTCAGCTGTAAAATGGAGAAGGGTAGGACCAGGGGTATTTTAGTGGAACGATCTCTACAGCTTCTTATAGCTCTGGGGTCAAATAAAGTCACTTAAAAGCTATGTGTGGTGGCTCATGCCTATAATCCCCGCACTTTGGGTGGCCATTGTGAAGGATTGTTGGAACCCAGGGGTTTAAGACCAGCCGGGGCAACAAATCGAGACCTTGTCTCTACAGAAAAATAAATAAAAGGAAAATAAAAGCAAAACCTATGCTAAAAAACAAAAACAAAAAAACCTGTTTTCTCTCCTTCCCTCTTACCCCTAGAGCAGATGCCCCCACGTGTTCTGTGTAGATCCTCAGCTGAGAAGTTTGTGGACCTTTACAGTATGTGATTTGTATCAACAAAACAGTGGGGTTCCCCCTTCATTTTATAAATATGAAAATTATCCCTGTAATGGTAAATACACTTTTTCATACTGTCCCGTGTCCCTTACTCCTTATCCCTGAGGCATATTGATTGGCCTCCCTCTTCTCAGCCCCCAGTCACTGCTATAAAGTATTTGAATACTAACCTTGGGCTCAGCCAGGTTCTTATCTTTATGCTAGTTGGGAGTAAATATGTGCTTTGTTTCTTTAATTTGGTTGTAAGTACCAGCCTTTTGATATTGTAATCCTTCCAGCCTAGTGAAATACCTGGCTGTTTTGTTTTGTGGAGGTGGGGGCATTACTTGAACTCTGACTCTTCATCCTGTGATGGAAGAATGCTGTGAGTCTTTGCCAGTAAAGTATCTAGTGCAGGGCTTAGCATAATCTAGTTTTCCATAAATATTAGTTTTTGATGATTAACTTGTGGGAATAATTAAAATTTGTATAATACAGAGCATAATTGTGTGCATTATCTTGTTTAGTCTTCATAAGTAAACATGGGTGGCAGGCATTCCTGCCATCATTCTTACCTAAAGAAACTGGGACCCGAAGAGGTTTGGAACCAGCTCCCACAGTGCCCAAGGAGGCAGAGCCAGGATGTGAACCTGGTTTATGTGTCTTCAAGTGCCAAACTCTTTCCTGCTTCTTTGCTTCTCTCTTCAACTCTTGGGCGATAATTCTAAACAATGGGGGAGCTGCCAGGGTACCCATCCCAGGTTCTGGGAAAAAGATCCTCTTTCTTGGAAATTCTTCATCTAGGAGCAGCGTGAAATGAGCCGTGTCCAGGCTACCATTTCAAAATTAATAATAATTTGGCTGGGCGTGGTGGCTCATGCCTGTAATCCTAGCACTTTGGTAGGCCGAGGCGGGTGGATCACCTGAGCTCAGGAGTTCGAGACCACCCTGGGCAAAACGGTGAAACCCAGTCTCTACTAAAATACAAAAATTTAGCCAGACATAGCGGCATGCGCCTGTAGTCCCAGCTACTCTGGAGGCTAAAGTAGAATTGCTTGAACTCAGGAGGCGGAGGTTGCAGTAAGCTGAGATCACGCTACTGCACTCCAGCCTGGGCGACAGAGTGAGACTTGTCTCCATCAAAATAATAATAATTATTATTATTTGTGCCCCTGCCTGTGTCTTGAAAGACTGCAAGATAGCTAAAATAATTGGTAGCTATTCTGGGAATATTAAAAGTCAAAGGACATCAGGCCAGTAGTAACAAGGGATTTGGGAGAAACGATCATGTCAAAATTTGGCTAAGCCATACTGTTGCAGTTTCATACGTTTAGTTCCGAGCTTCCTGGCTGCAAGGCAAAAAGGGGAGCGCTTTTATCTGTTTGTGATGCGACTCTGCCAGCTATATTGGACATTAAAACCAATGCTGTTTTTTGGCTGGGCATGGTGGCTTATACCTGTAATCTCAGGACTTTCGGAGGCCAAGTCGGGCAGATCACCTGAGGTCAAGAGTTCGAGACCAGCCTGGCCAATGTGGTGAAACCCCATCTCTACTAAAAAAACAAAAACAAAAACAAAAATTAGCCGGGCGTGGTGGCGCACACCTGTAATCCCAGCTACTTGGGAGGCTGAGTCAGGAGAATCGCTTGAACCTGGGAGGTAGAGGTTGCAGTGAGCTGAGATCGTGCCACTGTACTCCAGCCTGGGTGACAGAGCAAGACTCCATTAAAAAAAAAAAAAATTAGCCAAGCATGGTGGCCCGAGCCTGTGATCTCGGCTACTCGGAAGGCTGAGGCAAGGAGAATCGCTTGAACCTGGGGGGTGGAGGTTGCAGTGAGCCAAGACTGCGCCACTGCACTCCCACCTGGGCGACAGATTGAGACTCCATCTCAAAAAAAGAAAAAAAGATGTTTCAATTACATTTTTAAATAAAAGATGTTATGGGGGAGGGGGAGGGTTGGTCCTTGGCCATTTATCATATCAGTTATTTTTCTAAAAACGTTAATTTTTAACGTTAATTAGTTGGGTTTTTGTTTTGTTTTTAGTTTTTCTCTACAGAGGTAAATTTAGAGCTTAAAGAATTCTGAACAAGATCAGCAAACATTCTAGAAGGGCCAGATAGTAAACATTTTAGGTTTTGCCAGTGAAAGCAACTATAGACAATATGTAAACAAATGAGCATGACTTTATTACAAAAAAATTGTATTTTAAGGCAACAGTTTCCTCATCTGTACAATGGGGGTAAGAGTGGCTCTACATGGTTATTGTGAGACCAACATGAGGAAACATACTCTCCTGTCCAGTGCTGTCTGGCACCCTGCATCACTCCATAATCTTTAACTCCCTTCGGTATGCCTCAGGGCCTACCTGCTGTGTTCCAATAACAGTTTTCAAGAATAGTGCTGGAACTCATTCACACTGAAAGGTAGACCAGAGAACTGAAGGTTCTGTGATCCTCCTCAGGAATCTGTACTTTAGCTTACCTGCAGACCAAGGATTGGATTCGAGGTTTTTTTGTTTTTTCTCCCCAAGTTTGGTGATAGGGAGGGGAGACTGCCTTCCCAGTGTCTGGAAGCAGACTGCACAATTAGCTCTCTCTGGTGTCTGGACTCTTGGTAAGCCCTCCTCAAACGCCTTTAACCTTGAGGAGCTCCTACTCTGATAGAAGCGCTGCTGGTGGGAGTGCCTGATAACAGACACCTGAGCAGGCCAGTTGGCTTCAGACAGTGATGTTTATTGCTGTTGATTGAGCCCTGGGGCCCGGTTGATTCCCTATTTGCATCAGAGTGAAGGAAGCAACACTTCTCTAGACCTGCTTCTTTCATCTGATGGTTGAAAGTCATCCCCAAGATGTCTCACGGCCCAGATGTCAGGGTTCCCCAAGGCCGGCCTGACTCAGACAAAGTGAGAACTTCAGGGAAACCAGGGAAGTTCTCTTCCTCTCCAAATCTTCCCTCACCTGCTTGTTGTTGGCTGCCTTATCCCTGGCCAGTGCCTTCTACTCTGGTGGTGGTGCTCTTGTTGTTGTTGTTTTTTTTTTT